TCATACGTACAGTTCTAATTGGGGTGTTAAGTACCCATGAACCTCCAAGTAGGGCTACTCGGGGACCACGTGGGTATGTCCCCCAAATAGGGGTACTCCTATTTTCACAAAACCCCCCACATCTACGCCCTCTTGAGCCCTTGAAATTGAAGTTTCCCAGCCCTTTGCTCACTAAAGGCCGTGGAACATCACCTCACAGCAGCTACAGGCTCCAAGCGCCTGTCGGTTTAGGATGTAGGGTTTAGGGTTTAGGGTTTAGGGTTTAGGGTTCAGGGTTAACCTTTGCGTCTGTCGATTTAAGGCTTAGGGTTTAGGCCTATTGGCAAGAAGGCCCTGCTGTCAGGTGGTTGCCGGCAGCCTCCTCAGTCCGTGCTTAAAAAGGGGCTTAGGACTTAGGGCTGAGGGAGGGTTTAGGGTTTAGGGTTTGGGGTTTAGGGTTTAGAGTTTAGGGTTTAGGGTTGAGGTTTAGGGTGTGGTAGAGGGCGGTCCCAATGAGCATAAGACCCTACAGCGCATTGGCTGCTGACGTCTGCAGCAGGTCAAAGTCGTATCAGTTTTCAGGTTCATATCAAGTGCGACGGGGGGACGAATGCCGTGCATTGAGGTCAAAATTGGAGGATACTTCACAGGGGGTGGGGGTAGGGGAGGGAGAGTATCAGGATTTATATATTGTGTTCCAGAGCCCAAAGCCTTTCGACGCCAAACCTGTTCAGCACCGCCCTCAGAAGTAGTGGTTGGTCTGGTTCCGTGCCGCTCAGAAGTAGTGGATGGCCTCTTTCTTCCAGACACGCTGGCGCACAGGAAGCAGCCCACAGGTGCACCCTCTGGTTACCAGTACTTCAAGCCTTGCATAGACTCCCTCAACCCTATATGGCCCTCAATCCTAGAGCCGCTACCTCCCTCTAAACCCCTAAACCCCCAAAAGCACTTAAACCCTATAAGCCTATGAGCCCCTGCCCGGGCCTGAGCAACAGACCCTCTAGGAGGGACACAGAGTAGGCTCTTGTTCCCGATATCGTAGGTTCCCGTATAAAGCCCCTTGCACTTTGAAACCCCAAAAGGGCACCCGTCTCTTTTTTCCAAGGTTACTCTTGTGTCTCACCCTCTTAGGGTAGTTTCATGGGCCCTAAATATGGTCCCTTACCCACTGTAAAAGGGTTCTGCTGAATGGCCCTTAATTTCTATAGTGTATATTCGGGGTGTATAAGGGGCACCCTTTTAAGGGCCCATACTACTGGACCATGTAACTACACTAAGAAAGTGCAGCAGAGTCCCACTTGAAACCTAAACCCTAAATCCTAAACCCTTAACCCTTAAACCCGAAACCCGAAATCCTAAACCGTAATCTAAGGGTAGTTTCATGGGCCCTTTGTATGGGCTATACAAATGAAGGGCCCACGCATCAGAACCCTTTCGCGAGGGTAAGGGGCCATATTAAGGGCCCATGAAACTACCCTTAAACCTAAACCCGAAACCCTGAACCCTAAACCCTAAACCCTAAACCCCAAACCCCAAACCCTAAACCCTAAACCCTAAACCCTAAACCCTAAGCAGCAGCCTGCTGGGGAGGCTTCTATGATCGGCTCACGGAAGTGAGACCACTGGGCCGCCAAGCAGCCAGGGGTTTTAGGGGTTTTAGGGTATTTTTTAAAGATCTTTTTAGGGTTTTCGGGTGTTTTTGGGGGGTTTTCAGGATTTTTAGGCTTTTTAGGGCTTTAGGGGTTTGGTTTTAGGGTTTTAGGGTTTTAGGGTTTTAGGGTTTTAGGGTTTTAGGGTTTTAGGGTTTTAGGGTTTTAGGGTTTTAGGGTTTTAGGGTTTTAGGGTTTTAGGGTTTTAGGGTTTTAGGGTTTTAGGGTTTTAGGGTTTTTTGGGGGTTTGGGGTTTTAGGGTTGGGGTTTTAGGGGTTTGGGGTTTGGTTTTAGGGTTTTTGGGGTTTTAGGGGTTTTAGGGGTTTGGGGTTTTAGGGTTTTAGGGTTTTTAGGGTTTTAGGGTTTTTAGGGGTTTGGGTTTTGAGGTTTTTTCGGAGTTTTAGGGTTTTAGGGTTTCTAGGGTTTTTAGTGTTTTAGAGTTTTTAGGGGTTTTAGGGGTTCTAGGGTTTTGGGGTTTTTGGGGTTTCAGGGTTTCAGGGTTTTAGGGGTTTGGGGTTTTAGGGATTTTAAGTTTTTTGAGTTTGTAGATTTTTCGAGTTTTTGCTTTGCCACGCCGGTGTTTGAGTTTGTTTCCTTGGCTGTATTTGCAGTCGTAACGAGAGGAGTAAGCCCTGTACTGGTAGGTCATTTTTTGTGTGCCAGCGAAAACATGCAAAAGCAGTTGGCATCCTGAGTTGGCACTTTAGAGTTTTAGGGAACAGGTTTTAGGGATGTTTTTTAGCAGCATGCCGGCCACGCAAGCTCACGACTGAGGCAAAAGCAGTCGTGCCCAGCGCCGTGCTAAGAATTTGATTGGCAACCGCAAATGGCAGCGATTTCCAAAGTTGCTTCGTAAGCTTTTGTATGTGGTTGAAACCCAGGCAAGGCATCGTTTTTTTTCCTGGGGCTGAGGCTGGCAATGACAGTGCTGTCGTTGCACCGGTTAGGCCGTTCACTCAGACCGTGGCAGCAGTTCAAGGAGCTGATGGGGAACCCTTGTTCTTTTAGGGTTTAGGGCCACTTGGTGCTTGTCCCTTTTTATGTTTCCTTCATTTGGGGTTCAGAGGATCATATTTTGGGTTTTTTTTGGAGGGTTCCTGGCGCGGACAGGAGGGGTGAGTTTTTTTGTTTTGGGGGGAGGGGGGGGGGGGCAGGGCGGTCAAATAATTGAAAGATTTGCCCAACGGCTTTGTTACCTGCATTTGCTCGCAGAGGTCTTACGCCTGTAGCCTGGCACCTGTTCGACCGATTGGCCCAAGATGGCTTGCAGGCTCGGCAATTGTGACGCTGACCTGGAATGAGGGAATGGGGTACCCTACATCCCCCCTAAACCCTAAACCCCAAAAAACCTTTTTACTTCATCCCACATTCCTACTGTAAACCCTACATATTCCCGTATTTAAGTACCCTTGAAGGGATTATGTAGGGTACCTCATCACATTCCCTGCTAAGAACCAGGGGGATGAAGCTTAAGGGTTTAGGGTTTAGGGTTTAGGGTTCAGACCGCAGCATGTCGACAGTGGACAGGCTGGCGGGGAAGCGTACAGCAACTGGCTGTTCATTGCAGGCGAAACCCGTCAGAAGCTCAGATCGGGTTGCTATCGTGTTTGCGACATGTAGGAGTGGTTGCTCAGTTCCTAAACCTTAAACCCTAAATCCTAAATCCTAAATCCTAAACCCTAAACCCTAAACCCCTAAACCCTAAACCCAAGTTTAAGCCAGCAAAGAACGTTCACGGGTTTGATGAGGCGATCCCCAGCGTGAGGTGGATGTTTTCGAACAGATGGCCAGGCATGGATGCCACATGTGTGAAAATACAAAACAGTAATATACAAGAATATACAATTAATATACAGTCATATACATCAATATACAATAATATCAACTCGGTTCGGATGTATTTGCTGCGTGTTGTTTGCAGAACATGCGTTTGCTGCACGAAGTTGCCCATTGTCACGCGCCTTTTGTCGGCAGGACGGCGCACACGCGAGGTTTGCAAGGAGCTTGCTGGAACAGCGTTGCCAGAAGCCTACAGTTCAATGACAATGAATGGTTTCGGGTTTAGGGTTTAGGGAAGCTTGTGCAACAGGAAGGCAACGTGTGTCAGTGAGGGCAATCGTTGCGCAGAATGTGTGCGTAACACAATGCTAATTCTGAATTGCTTCAATGTTATCGCAGCAATCAAAAGTCACAAGATGTTCCCATCACTCAAACACCGCTCACCCCTGAATGGGCTGAGGCAAAAATCTTCAACGTGTTAGCTTCATGTTAGGGTACAGCTTATTGTGGCTTGGGCTTCTAGCCCAAGCCAAAGCCCGAATCCTGAACCCAAAACTTGATCAGCAACCTCAGCAAACCAGCAAACCGACATTTCAGTAGACCCCCACCCACGCCTTAAACCCTAAACCCGAAACCTTAAACCCGAATCTAAACCCTAAACCCTAAACCTTTAACCCCAAACCCTAAACCCTAAACCCTAAACCCCCCATTGAGGCCATCCGGTGCTGTGCGCTGGGCGACGAGCGGCGAGCCAGGCACTCCATCTCTAAGGCTCTAAGGACCTCTTGAGATTGACTTAGGGTTTAGGGTTTAGGTTTTTCGTTTCGAATGCCTGAGAGAGAGAGAGAGAGAGAGAGAGAGGGGTTGGGGCTTAGGGTTTAGGGTTTAGGGTTTAGGGTTTAGGGATATTCCCCTCATACCAAAAATCCTGAATAAGTATAATTGAGCAGCGTTTTTTTTCTAGGAGCAAGGCTACGTAGAGACGCGATCATTGAAAGTCGGCCGCGTAGCATTTTGCCTGCAGGGCGTAGGTTTGCGTAGGGTCCGCGTAGGCAAGTCTATGCAGTATGGGCGCGTAGGTCCGCGTAGGTTGTCTATGCTTGCCGCGTAGGTCCGCGTAGGCACACGTCAACAACATACTCCGCGCGTAGGCCCGCGTAGGATACCCATGCCATTACAACACCCCACACACTGAAAAAAAACAATGCTCAATCCCTATTGAGAACTGTTAGCACAATGGGGAACATCCCAACCTAAGCCCGGAGCCCGAAAAACAACATGGCACCACATATAAGTCCAGAAGTCCCAGAAACCCTAAACCCTAACCTCTAAACCCTAAGCAGTGTGTGCCTCGCCTGGCTTGTCCGAGTGTGAGCGATTAAACCCTAAACGTCTCAAAGCAAAAAGGGCCTTCCATTAAGAGCTTTGAAACCCCTAAACCCTAAACCGTAAAGTAGGTTACCGGTTTTGAGTTGATGAGGGGCTCGGGATACGAGTAGAAACTGACGTTCCGGATGGTTCCTGGGGCTACCTAGGAACCACGGCCAAAACCCCCGGCACGCGAGATAGAAACTGGAACCTACCAAGAGTCCCATGCTTGCAGAGAACTTCTGGGCTCCGCACTCTCAAATCCCAGTGGGACCTAAACCCTTAAACCCTGAACCCTGAACTGCCCACACGGTCAGTTCTCTAGATTGCGGTCCTTTTTTGGGTGCCCTACATAGTAGAGGCCGCCTTCTAATAATACCTCAAAAAGGACCCTAACTTAGAGAAGTGATCACATCGTGTCACACAGGATAGCGCTGCAGCACATCGACACCGAGCAACTTTGCAACCCAATGTCTGCGACTGTGCTGCAGCAATCTTTGACTTAGTAGCTGGGTAGGTAATCTTCTTCGTTTGGTTTTCAAGTTATGTAGAATTCTACTATATACAACAGGCTAATTTGTTTTGTGGCCAGGGTCTTCAGCCCCTAAGTAGAATCCCCAAGGACGCCCTCAGGACGCCTGTTGGTGTTGTGTGCAAAGTTCTGGGCGTTTTAAATTTTAAACCCGAAACCTCGCAGCCCTGGAAGCCTCTAAACCCTAAACTCCAAACCCTAAACCCCAGACCCTAAACCCTAAACCCTAAACCCTAAACCCTAAACCCTAAACCCTAAACCCTAAACCCTAAACCCTAAACCCCTTGTTATAATTAAGCTCGATGCCACTCAGGAGATGCTGCGACAGCGTTTGGCTCCCAGGTGCAGAGGCAAGATTTGAAGCAGGCATGACTCTTTCAGGAGCCTTCGGGGTGTAGGGTTTGGGGTTTGGGGTTTAGGGTTTAGGGTTTAGGGCTTAGGGCTTAGGGTTTAGGATGTCCAGAAGTGCCCTTACTCCTTTTTCTGGGCCCTTAGGTCCCATTAAAGCAACAAGTGGCACCTTTATTACTGGGAAACCTAGAAGACCATCCCGTTGCAATCCGTGTATAGATGGCAGCGCCTTGAAATCAAGGTTGTTTCTTCTGCTTCCGTGCGTATCCTAAACCCTAAACCCTAAACCCTAAACCCGAAACCCTAACCCCCAATCCTGGGCTCCGAGGCCTCGGAATGCCCGCGTCGCGGTCTCCGGTGGGGGACATCGAGTGGCCAACCTCGCATGTCACGGTTAGAGGTTATTGTGGTTTAGGGGTTTAGGGTTCAGGGTTTAGGGTTGTGGGGTTTAGGGTTTCGGGTTAGGGTTTATAGGGTTTAGGGCTCCGGGTTCAGGGTCTATATAGGGTTTAGAGGTCAGGGGTTAGGGTTTACAGGGTTTAGGGTTCCGGGTTCAGGGTTTATTTAGGGTTAGGGGTTTCGGGATTTGAGGGTTTACGGCTTTCAGGGTTATTAGGGTTACCGGGGCCACTAGGGGTATTGGGGCCATTAGGCTTACTACTGTTCTGAGGATTCTTAGGATTATTAGGGTTATTGGGGCTATCGGGGTTATTGGGGCTACTAGGATTAGTAGGGTTATTAGGGTTTAGGGGGCTTTTGGGCATCTGGGCTGAGACTTTTTATGGTTAGGGGGCTTGTAGGGATTTGAGAGTTTACGAATTTGAGGGTTTGGGGTTTGGGGGGCGGAGGGGTTTGGGGTCAGTCTTTGGGGGTGTGAGGGTTTAGGGCTTTAGGTCTCAGAGTCTGCGCTTGTGGGTGTGAAGGGGTTAAGTGTTTGGGGTTTAACCCAAAACCCAAAACCCCAAACCTAGACCCTAAACCCTAAACCCTAAAGGGGTTTAGGGTTTTGGAGTTTGGGCTTGCTGGGTTTTTTGCGGAGATTCGGGTTTAGATTTTTCTGGTGTGGTGCGAAGCTCGTTTGGAAGACCCTAAAACCCTCGACCCTAAAACCCTAAACCCTAAACCATAAGGCCTATGAACGGTAGGCCGAAGGTTCTGATGATCACTGTTGGGAGTTTTGAGCTTATGGTGTTTCGGAACCTTGTCAGCCCGAACCCCCTGAAACTCTAAACCCTGTTGAAACATGAGCTTCGTGCCTCGGACTTGCCCGCCTAAGCCCGGGAATAGGCCCCTGGTACACTTTGCAACTTCCCCTAAACCCTAAATCCTAAACCCAAAGCCCTAAAACCCAGAAACCCTACACAAAATTATTGGGTTGAAGAGATACTTGTGGCTTGGCAAATGCCCAAGCCCTTGGCAAAATCGAAGGCGGCTCCATACCCTAAGGGTCCATGTATCTTTTTTAGTACATACTTGGCCCTTAAAGAGGTTGCCCAAGCTTCTGCTTTAGAGGTACATGGACCCAAATAGGGAATACTTGGGCCTTAACGTACTTGCTGGGTTTAGGGTTTAGGGTTTAGGGTTATAGGGAATTTGGGGCCCAAGCTATATAATCATTAGGTACATGGACTCTTAGGGAGAGCAGCCATGGCCAGGCGGCGGCGCGAGAAGGATGAGCACGAGTGGGTCACCAACTCGTCCGTTCCCGAGATCGACGGATCGCCTGAAACACTTGGGTGGGCACTGATATTAGGGTTTGGGGTTTAGGGTTTAGGGTTGAGGGTTTAGGGTTTAGGGTTTAGGGTTTAGGGTTAGGGTTTAGGGTTTAGGGTTTAGGGTTTAGGGTTTAGGGTCTAGGGTTTAGGGTCTAGGGTTTAGGGTCTAGTGTCTAAGGTCTAAGGTCTAGGGTTTCCTGTGTTTAAGCGGATCATTTTGAGGATTTTACAGGCCATCCTCTAAAGCCCGGTAAACGCCAAAAGCCCCCTAAACCCTAAACCCTAAACTCTAAACCCTACACCCTACACCCTAAACGCTGAACCCTAACCCTATACAGTCCAGAAGCCCCAAGGAGCCCCGATAGAGGGAATCCCAGCAAAACCCCTGCAACCCTAAACCCTAAACCCCAAACCCTGAACCCCTAAACTCCAAGCCTGACTTTGGGCCTTAGCGTAGTAATCCCTAATTGCTTAAAAAAAGTAGAAGAAGTAATCTTTCATGATATGGAGACTTTTATCTCTCATTTTCTTGGGGATTCTTATGCAAATAGTAGGGTAGTAGAGGGTGGGAGGTTGAGGGCTCGGGCCTTACTTGGGGGCTTTGTTCGGGGTAGTAGAGGGTTGGAACGATAGGGCTGATAAGGCCTGGGATTCCGCCTAACCCTAAGCCCTACACCCTAAACTCTCAACCCTCAATCCTCAACCCTAAACCCTAAACCCTAAAGCCTAAACAAAACCCTAAACCCCAAACCCTAAACCCTAAGAAACCCCATGGGAGCCCTTCAGCCCTAACCCACGCAAAGGCTCGGCTTCAGCCTCCGGCTGAACAAAGTGGAGCCTCCACCCCAGGAGCACCCAATTCGGGTTTAGGGTTTAGGGTTTAGGGTTTAGGGTTTGGGGTTTGGGGTTTAGGGTTTAGGGTTTAGGGTTGTTCTACCATCCTTTGGGGGCATGTCGGGAGGGGGGAGGGTTATGAAGGGCACCGCTCTATTGCATGCACAACCCCGTTTCAATAGCAGCTCAATGGTTGACAGGTTTTGGTAAAGGGTTTAGTACCCAAGATAGGGTTCCACAAAGTTGTGCCAATAGCTTACCGCCGCAGTTTATGCCTACGCAAGAGCCTTCAAGTGAGGTTTTGAGTTTAGATTGTATTTTGGCGGGTTCCACTTTTTTGACCGGGCGGTCATTCTGGATGAGTAGCCAGGTCAACAACTGGACCCAACAAGTCCTAGATCGAATTACAGAATTCGGGAGCTAGGTGCACTACATGGCCCATGTGTAACCGTTAAAGGGTTTAGGGTTTAGGGTTTAGGGGTTCTATGGGGCACCTAGTTCCGTAGTTGCCCTCAGTTACGTGGTCCCTGAATATTGGCCGGGTTTAGCGTTTAGGGTTTAGGGTTTAGGGATTCTATGGGGCACCTAGTTCCGTAGTTGCCCTCAGTTACGTGGTCCCTGAATATTGGCCGAGAACCCTGTAAAGGAGGCAGGGGACCATATTATGGGATCATGTATCTTCCCTCAGATTACTACTTTTTGCTTAAGGACGCCCAACAATAACAAAAGCAAAAGAAAAACCCTAAATTACCCTTATACAGAAGAAGGTCTTGCAATTACCCTAAACCTTAAACCCTAAGCCCTCAGCCCTAAACCCTAAACTCCAAACCCTATAAACCCTAATCTCAAGGGTGGTCTTAAGACACGTCAGGCCTTGTGGACATGTCATATTTTACCGTATTGGTTTTGAAGAGGATCATCTTCAGGATTATCTTTCAGAGGTTTTAAGAGCCATCCGAGTAGATCCGAGTAGATTAAGAACGAGATTTTTCAGAGGGTTCTAAGGGCCATCCTAGCAGATCCGAGTAGATTTGAGAACGAGTTCACTAAAGTACCCTTTTCCTTTTTTGGGGGGTTCAACTTTCCCTTATAAAGTAACCAACCCCAAAAAGGGTGCCCTTATTATAGTGTGGTTACCGGGCTACCCCCCAAACCCTAAACCCTAAACCCTAAACCCTAAACCCTAAACCCTAAACCCTAAACCCTAAACCCTAAACCCTAAACCCTAGACCCTATAAGGTACTACAAGGAGGTTGGAACGCCGAGCTCCCAGCACAGCCAAGCATCTTCACGGGAAGGTTTGGCAAAAGGTTGGTCGATGTTTGGGGTTTAGGGGTTTAGGGGTTTAGGGGTTTAGGGGTTTAGGGGGTTTAGGGGTTTAGGGGTTTAGGGGTTTAGGGGTTTAGGGGTTTAGGGGTTTAGGGGTTTAGGGGTTTAGGGGTTTAGGGGTCTAGGGGTCTAGGGGTCTAGGGGTCTAGGACTCTGGAGGGCAGGTTGGGCAGGTTTAGGGCAGGTTTAGGGCAGGTTTAGGGCAGGTTCAGGGCAGGTTTGGGGCGGGTTTAGGGGTTTAGGGGGGGGGGGTTGGGGGGGGGGTTAGGGGGGGGGTTTAGGGGGGGGGGGGGGGTTAGGGGGGGGGGGGGTTAGGGGGGGGGGGGTTAGGGGGGGGGGTTTAGGGGGGGTTTAGGGGGGGTTTAGGGGGGGTTTAGAGGTTTCGGGGTTTAGGGCAAGTTTAGGGTTTTAGGGGTTTAGGGGTTAAAGGGTTTAGGGGTTTAGGGTTTAGGGCAAGTTTAGGGTTTTGAGGTCTTTGGGGTTGTGGCTTTGCCCATGTATTGTATCATGTGCTTCTCATGCATGATCGCACCTGAACCCTATATCCCTCAACTCAGAAGGAGCTCTAGCATTCAAACGAGTCGTGTGAGTGACTTTTCTCTTCGTTTGACTCCTGTGATACAAGTTTTCGGTTCCCCAAAACCAAAACTCCAGACCCGAAACCCTACCCCTAAGCCCTAACCCTAAACCCTAAACACTTCAATCCAGACCCTAGGCCCTCAACCGTAGATGAACCTCAACTCCAAGTTAAGCAACGGAAGCCACCGAGGCTCCACTACATCCTCGGCCATGGACAACATTTGAACATTCCGGTGCCGACCTCATGGAAGTCATAGGCTTTTGGGGTTTAGGGTTTAGGGTTTAGGGTTTGGGGTTTAGGGTTTAGGGTTTAGGGTTTAGGGTGGGCCTAGGGTGCCCTAGGCTCCAAACCCTGATTTCGTTTTGCGGGGGCGTGTTCTGGGGTGGCACAGGCAGGTTCGACCGCTGATACTGTGGGCAAAGTCGAAAGCACAATTCCCACAACTCTAAAGCCCCCCGAACCGCACCCTGGTTTGGCTCGCGCAATCCCTAGAAGCCACACAAAGAAGCAAACAAAAATGAACTGACCCGCAGCTGTCTTGAGGCCATCCACAAAGGCATCGAGTCCTTCACCCGAGAGCAGGAGCTTTGGTTGACTCCTCAGTCAGTTTGCACGGCAAAGCTTTGTGCTGTTTAGGATCCTTATCAGCTTAATTTCTAATATCTAACGTGGCCAAAGTCAGTATACGGCTACTCGGGGGGGGGGGGGGGTGGTAGGGGGATCTCAAGCCCATGCAAGTTGCGCAAAGAGGCAAGTACGCGTATGAGTTTGTGTCGTGGAGAGCTTCGTATAGTATAGTGGCTTACGAGTTTTGCTAATTCTCAGTGTATTGTACATGTTCATGTCATCGCACTCAGGGCCTGTCCTTTCGAACTTGGGTTGAACAGCCCCTCTGTTGTCCTGAAGGCCCGAAGCCCTACATGCTCTTAAGCCAGCCCGGGCTTTACCGGCGCTCTACTGGGCCCATGGTACGTCCAGCTAACCCCCACAAGGGATCACATTCGACACGGTTTCCCCCGACCAGCCTAGGGCCAAGAGCCCGTTGCCGAGAGAAGGTGTTCTAAAGAAGCCCTACACGATAGAAAGCCGGACAAAGCCTCTAGACCCGACCTGCTTTAGAGCAAGATTTTAGAGCAAGAAGCTCAACACTTGCAAACTCCAAACCCTCGATTCCCAACATTAGAGTACCTGTTTCGGCAATTCTTATACAGGCGATTTTCCTATATTCGGGGTATATACACCCTAAGCCCTGAAACCCTCAACCAAAACCCCTGAGGCTGAAATTGGCTGGGGACGAAAAGGGTGCCGTACTGGACAAGGCCGATCGGACGGAGTCTCTTACATTGCGTAAATTTTTCTCAGTATATGAACCCTAAACCCTGAACCCAAGCCCCAAAAACTAAACCCTAATCCCCAAAACCTAAACCCGAACCCTGGAAACTGGGCAACCTTTCCATGTTGGCGAGGCACTATCAACATCAACCTCCGCACCCCCAACCCCCAAAATCCTCCTTAAATTAAGTAGGACCTTGGGTCATGTTATATTGTCCCTTATTGAATTGTGTTCAAGAGGGGTCATACCCAGGAATCCTTCCCCAAATTGGGTCTCCAGAGGGTCATATTAAAGGTAATTCTTTCAGAGGGCTTTAAATGGCCTTCCTCGTTCAGCATCCTACAGGGCACGTTTCGGTAACCCTAAACCCTTGACCCTAAACCCTAAACCCTAAACCCTAAACCCTAAACCCTAAACCCTTAACCTTGAGGGAACCCTTGGGCCAAGCCCTCTCGTCGGGAAATAATGTTTGACCCCCCTCACGAACCCAACTGAAATCCCCCCAAATCCCTCAACCCTCAAAACCCCACCCCTCCCCCTAAGCCGAAAATCCCACCCCTCCCTCTCTTTCTCCTCTCAGGTTTTGGCCCTCCAGGGAAAGGCCCGGCTGGTTGTTGAAGTCGGCCTCTACGTGCCCTGCTTGCAGCCATGGGCTAGGCTTAGGAAAGTTTAGGGTTTAGGGTTTGGGGTTTAGGGTTTAGGGTTTAGGGTTTAGGGTGATGTTCCCGAAGCCCTAGGCCATAAACCTTACACCCTACACCCCAGGATTTCAGAATTTCGGGCTTTAGGGTGCTGCAAGGCCGCCCAGTACGCCTCTTCCCTTTGCTTCAGGGTCTGGATCCCTGGTACAGTAGATTCCTTTGAGGGCTTAGGGCTTAGGGGTTAGGGGTTAGGGGTTTAGGGGTTTAGGGGTTTAGGGTTTAGGGCTCAGGGCGTCAGACTTTGCGGGGTGTTAGTTAGGGCGCCAACCTCTTTCAAGTTTGCGCGCTTCGATGATAGGACTCAGGCTTGTTGGGAAACCCGAAACCCTAAACCCTTTGGTGTCTGGAGGGCCTTAGGGCTTTAGGAGTCGGGTTTGGGGGTTTTGACGCTGTTCAGTATGATTGTCATCTTAAGGTTTTTATTACGAACTTGGGCCGAAGGTTGTTGGGCTCTATGGGTTTTGGGGGAAGATTGAGGACTACAGGCTTGTTAGGGCCTCTAAGATTCAGTTTAAGAATTTACAGGGGCTCAGATCCACCCCTGAACCTACCCCCCCCCCCCCTACACACCCCAAACCCCAAAACCACCCCTATGCTGTCCAACACTTGATACCGCCCCAGTGCCAAGGTTGGCTACTCCTCCACTCGAATGGTGGCAGCCTTGGCTATTTGGAGATGTTTGTGGGCCCCCCCCCCCGAAGAAAAAAAACTAAGGGTTTAGGGTTTAGGGTTTCTTTTTTGGGTGGGGGGGGGGGGCAGGGGGAGGGGTTAGCAAAGGAGAACCCGGGATCAAGACGGGGAGCGTCGGTCTCTTCAGAGCACGTGTTTGAAGGTTTAGTAGGTTTCAGGGGTTTAGGGTTGAAGGGGAAGGTTTCACAAGGTCCCTTTATTGAGGCGGCCTAATTAGACCCCAATGTGTAGGTTTTGTTGGGTACCTAGTTCTTTTGCCATGCGAACGGAAGTCTCGAACAAAGCGCGTCCCTAAATCCCTGGCAAGGCGCGTAAAACGGAAACCCCTCCCCCCCAAAATTGAAAACCTGAACCCCTAAACCCTAAGCCCCAAACCCTAAACCCTAAACCCTAAACCCTAAACCCTAAAACCCTAAACCCTAAACCCTAACCTTAACTAAGCCCTCAATCCCCTGGTAAACCAACCCCAAGTCCGCGAGGCTTCACAGATGCGCCACTGGGGCGGCCGGGTCATCTCCATGGAGGCCAGGAGTACTGGCATGTTTAGGGTTTAGGGTTTTGGGGTTTAGGGTTTAGGGTTTAGGGTTTAGGGTATTCCAATGTAGTTCCTTTTTGGGTTACTTATAGGGGATTCTAGAATACTTCCCCAAAAAGGTACTATATAGGAGCCTTTGGGTAAAGTTTGGGGCGTTCCCCGCATACTAGCAGTCCTTAATAGGGATTATAGTACCACCCTATCATAATCCCAATTAAGGACTGTCAGTTTCAAATCTAGCTGCGGCTGAACCCCCCGCCCTCTATCCCACGCAAGTGAAGTGTTCTGGCGGATGCTTTGCATGGAGGTGGATCCGTACCACGCGGCCATCGCTCGCAACACCATTGAGCTTGGACCCTAGCTAGCCAAGATGGGTTTAGGCTCCAAGAAGCTCAGTTGCAAAGAACGCAACACTTGAACCCTTACAAGCGTTTTGCTCCGAAAGTTCGGGGTGGTTTGGGGCTGTTCGAATTCATGTCGGAGCAGGAGCGGCAGATCTGACTTGCTTGGCAGTCTTGTTCAAAATTTATTTGAAATATCAGAGCTTGTTGAAAATCTTGATGGGTACTTGAAGGTTAGAGCTTGGGGTTTTGGGAGTTGAAAGAAGTTGAAGGGTTTCGAGGCCAAAGGGTTCCGGTGCTTTGTCCAGTCCGTTTGCCAACGATGCTTCAAATTTGATTGGCCATCCAGAGTGTTGCAAGCTCTCGCCGAAAATGCTGAAAAACTAGCGCCAAAGCCTCACGGAACCCAGCTTGTTTTTTCATGAATGAATATATACATTTATGTATATATATATATATATATGTATGCTAACCCCTCCTCCAAGAACCAACCCTCACCATATGAGCAAGCACCAAAACCCCCAGCCAGTCCAATGCCCACAACCCTGTAAAGAGATGATGAGGACACCTGAAAAGCGACACCCCTAAGTTAATGAACCGTTGGGTGGGCTATAGCCGACACCTGTAGACATCAAGTGTGGACAACTGACGCTAAAACACTGTAAAGCGATGGGAACACTTGAAAAGTGACACCCCTCATGTTGCATCAAGTAGCACCGCCAGCCGGTTTTGGCAGTCGCTCATATGCTTACGTATATATGTATATATATATATATGTTTGTTATGTGTATTTGATTATATACATGTCGAGAAATACAGATGGTTATAGATTATTGCCAGAGCACCCGTACAGATTTTGGCTATAGCAAACCTATGTCGGGTTCTGTTGTACCACAAAGTCGAAGGTTGCTGGCTCTTGTGATCTGTGCGCCCGAAGCCTTGGCTAGGTGGGCTGGACTCACAGATCACATCGAAATCTGGGTCGGGTTACTCAGATTGCGAACGCCCAGCTGCCTTGTGGCGAGCTTTCCTGCACACCCATACAGGGTTTAGGGCTTAGGCTTTTTGGGCAATTGTTGTTGCAGCAGCTCATGAAATCCCAAGCTTTAAACCTTAGAACCAGAACCCCAGTACTTGTATTAAGCAAAAGTACTAGTACTAGTACGACGTCTCAGGCCACCAAGAAGCTGGGTTTGTTGCTGCTGCAACCTCAACGCAACACAAGCATCAAGCTCCCTCAGTTGAAGGGGTTTAGGGGTTAGGGTTTAGGGTTTAGGGTTTAGGTTTGTTTGGGGTTCCGGGTCAACTGAAAGCGGGAGGCAACCAAAACAAGCCCTAAACCCCCGGAGCCCCAAGTAGGGTCAGAGGGTGTTGGGTGGGTCTTTTAACTGGCCATGCACCCCGAACCCCCTGGGGGCCAAACCCGAAACATTGAACACACCCAAGCATCAAGTCCTTGCGGAAGCTTCAAGACAGTAGATCCCCCCTTTGTGCACACCGAAATCGGGTAGAATCACCGAAGTAGAGTCGAATCCCCTTAGAAGTAGAAAGAGCCTGGGAGTAAATCCCCTTTGTGCACCCCAGGTTTAGGGTTTAGGGTTTAATGTGGTATCCTGATTAGTGTGAGGGGCCCCCCCCCCCCCCCCCCCCCCCCCCCCCCAAACTAAATCCACCCCCGTAATAGTGTTTAAAAAAAGGGACCCCCCCAAACTAATTTTCGGCCCCGGGGCCCCCCCCCCACCGGCTCCTCTTCATTTCCTCTTCGCTCCTCTTCCCTCTCCTCTTCCTCTCCTCTTCCTTTCCCTCTCCTCTTACATAATTAAGCTCAGGTATGAGCTCAGCTCAGGTAAGCTCCCCCCCCCCCTCCCCCCGAAAACCTTGACATTATTGTGGGGGTGCAATTTTTTTTTTTTAATGGGTTCGGGGCAGCACGTGGACTACCCCCTTCAAAATTTGATGGCTAGGCCTCCTCAGATAAGCGAAGTCATAAGGAATCCTTGTTTTCCGGCCTGGTCGTCGACCCTGAACCCGGGAAGCTTGAAGGCCCGCCCCCCCCCCCTCCCCCCGAAAACCTTGACATTATTGTGGGGGTGCATTTTTTTTTTTTTAATGGGCTTCGGGGCAGCACGTGGACTACCCCCTTCAAAATTTGATGGCTACGCCTCCTCAGATAAGCGAAGTCATAAGGAATCCTTGTTTTCAGGCCTGGTCGTAGACCCTGAACCCGGGAGGTTGGGGATGACAGCTCAGAACTCCGACTTGAAGCTGCTCTTCTTTTGCTCTTTTCTTTCATCATCTTCTTCTCTTTTTTCTCTGTTCCGAAACCCATGCCCGAAAAACTTTACTTTATTGTGGGGGGGGCAATCCAAATTGGGTCTCCTGAATATTTTTTGGAAAACTTTTCATTATTGAGGGGGTCCAGACTAATCAGGGTACGACATTAGGGTTTAGGGTTTAGGGTTTAGGGTTTAGGGTTTAGGGTTTAGGGTAGAAATCTCCTTAGAAAGAGCTCGGAGCTCGCTGCAGTGTGGGCACAGCGAGAATCTCATCCCGCGGCTGAAGGATCGATTGCCTGAAAAGCCTGATGCTCAGCATTAGGGTGTAGGGTTTAGGGTTTAGGGTTTAGGGTTTAGGGTTTAGGGTTTAGGGTTTAGGGTTTAGGGTTGGCTTGTGTGTGGGTTTCGGGGGAGGGTGTGTTTTTGTTTGGGCAGGAGGGTTGGGAGGTGGAAGATGTTCATGGTTGTTGTTCTTTGGGGCGGGGGGCAGGCGGGTGACATGAAGACTTCTGGGCGTCAGGCTTCAGGGTGTTTGATTCGTGCGAACTTGTAGGAGTCTCTTTGAAGTTTTGCGGAACCCAGGTTCCGGGTTTAAGCACCGACTTCCAGGGCTTGACACTTTGTGTTGAGTTGCCGCTTTAGGGTCTAGGGTTTAGGGCTCGGGGCTAAGGTTGGGATGTTCCCCCCTATAATACCAGTCCTTCATAGGAACTATAGTACCCCCTATTCAGGAGTTGTTAATGCAAGGGAACATCCCAAGTTTATGAGGTCAGGGCGTCTAGAAGCCTGCGCAGCATTCTCACCACACCCCTCGCAACGCAGCTCAGGGTGCCACCGGCCCATGTAGTTTCGCGGTAGAAGCACCTAGGCCCTGAGCAGTCGAGCAAGTACTTTAGGGGTCGGTCGGAATAATTACTACTGGTATCCCCTTATGGTCTCCATATAAGTATACTGTAGTACCCCCCCGCCAAAAGAAAGCGTTCTAATTCTTAATGCTTTGTTGTTGGTGGAGGGGGGGTTAAGGTGTCGTCCGTTATCGTCCCCTCCTAGAAACCAAGCTGGATATAGGGACCTGGTCGTTTGTTGCAACACCCTAAACCTTAAACCCTAAACTCTAAACCCTAAACCCGAAACCCTAAACCCTAAACCCTAAACCCTAAACCCTAAACCCTAAACCCTTAGAAGCACCCTCTTACAGCCCCCAAGGAAGCCTGATCCTGCACCCGGAAGCCAAAGAGTCCGACTGCCAGAAGTCCAGAAACCTAGGGGTTTTGGGGTTTTGGGATTTTGGGGTTTAGGGTTTAGGGTTTAGGGTTTAGAGTCTACGGTTTAAGGGGGTTCGAGGTTGAGGCGGTTGAGGGCAGAAGTGTTGCCACCGGAGCCGCAGGTCAATCGACATCCTCTTCTTCGACCAGCAGGGTACGAAGATGCACGTGGACCCTTTTTCAGGGTTTAGGGTTTAGGGTTTAGGGTTTAGGGTTTAGGGTTTAGAAGCTTAGGGTCCAGGGTTTTTTGGGGGCTTTGGAATCAGCACCCCGTTGAGTTTGGCTTGCCGTAGGGTACAAAGTTTCCTTCCAGATGCCATTTATACGACCGGGTTTTCGGATGTTCCCCCTCTTAAACCTAACAGTAGTAGCTGAGCAGGTAACCTTTTAACCTTCTCGGTTATACAATTTAACCTTTTTGGGGCTAGGGTATTCAGCCCCTAAGGAACAGTGGTTACCCACCCCATTTTTTTAAAACCCTTTGCCAAAACCCTCGTAAACCCAATAAGGCCCATCAGCACTATGATTCTTAAGCCCTATAAAGCTTGTAAGCCCTTCAGGCGTACAAGCTCTACAAACCCGAAGAAGGCCCACCTGGGTTTAGGGTTTGGGTTTAGGGTTTTGGGTTTAGGGTTTAGGCTTTAGAGTTTAGGGTTTAAGGTTTAGGGTTTAGGGTTTAGGGTTTCCCAAGCCTTCAAGCAAACCCGGAAACCCCGAAGCCTTCAAACCCCACGCGCTGTGATCCCAAAGGGTCCATGTACCTATATAGTATACTATTGGGCCTTAAAGGGGTTCCTATGTAGTAACCTTACAGACCAAGCATAGCTAAACCCTAAACCCTAGGCCCTAAGCCCTAAACCCTAAACCCTAAGCCCTAAGCCCTATACCCTGTAAATAGGGCATGGAAGGATCTGCAGCGCATCGTGGACTACAACATGCTGTCGGACAGGGCTAGAAGCTGAGCTGCGCCGAGTTGGGGGGATAGGGTTTAGGGTTTAGGGTTTAGGGTTTAGGGTTTAGGGTTTAGGGTTTAGGGTTTAGGGTTTAGGGTTTAGGGTTTAGGGATAGAATACTTGGTAGCTCAGTGGTAACCATTTGCCCTTTTCAAGAGCCAGCAAGAAAAAGATGATCCAGGACCATCAAGGCAACGCTCCGGCGTTCCGTTCCGTTCCGTTCCGTTCCCGGCGTTGTGCTCCGTTCCGGCGCTCCGTTCCGGTGTTCCGTTCCGATTCGCCGGGGGTCCCGTTCCGGTGCCTCTCCCATCTAGCTCCTTGTACCCTAAACCCTAAACCCTAAACCACTCTGTAGGAGGGGTCCTTGGAGCCTTATAAGGCCCTATAGGCCAGCAAGAACAAGGGCGCCACACTGCCCCATAGGTCCAGGGAGTCCAACGCATTTAGGGTTTAGGGTTTGAAGAGTTTAGGGTTTAAGGTTAGGGTTTATAGGGTTTATAGGGTTTATAGGGGTTAGGGTTTAGGGTTTGAAGAGTTTAGGGTTTTAAGGTTAGGGTTTATAGGGTTTAGGGTTTAGGGGTTAGGGGTTTAGGGTTTAGGGGTTTAGGGTTTACGGGTTTAGGATTTGGGGTTCAGGATTTCATGGGGTTTCCCAAGCCAGGCCATTGTCGTCGGTGACAACGTGCTGCGACCGGGAGCGCCGCAGTTCATGCCCGGCGACCCGGAGAGTTGCCTCGTGCTTTCCTGGGCAGGGCGATGTCGGGGTGTCCGAAAACCAGGGCACCTTTTTGGGGGTTCGCATTAGAAGGATTGTTGTGTTTCGGGTGCCTATTTTGGGAGGTTCCTATGATAAAACTATAGTATGTCGGGTACGATTTTTTGGGTTTCCCATTGTAAGGGTTGTAGTATTGCGGGGTATAGGTTTCTTTGTGGTGCGTTACTGTAACTTTAGATCGCTAGCCTTTTGGGCTCATTGGGTTTCTTAATATGGCAGCAAAAATGTTCATTTATAGCTGCCCTTCTGAGTGCAGCCAAGATTAGGGGCTGGGGAAGTAAGTAGCCATGTGCCTCTTTGGGTGTCGGCGCATCGTCGCGGCACGACGTTGGCGCTGGTATGAACGCACGCAGCGCGCAATCAGCCCACGATTGGCATCCCAAGTTCGAGCTGTGGTGAGGTCAGGTTTTAGGGGTCGGGTGTAGGGTTTAGGGGTAAAGGGGTTTAGGGGTTTAGGGTTTAGGGTTTAGGGGTATTTTCTGAAGTCTCTGCGACCATAGATCACTGGTTCGACCGCGCATCCCTGCATTGCTTTTCGGTTCGCGATTTCTGATGAGCTGACCCAAAGGGTCCATGTACCTATATAGTATACTATTGGGCCTTAAAGGGGTTCCTACGTAGTAGCCGTAGACTGTATGGGCACATGGACCTAAATAGGGAATACTTGAGCCTTAATTAGAGTACCTCCTATATGGGGACTTTGGGGCTCAAATATATAATAATGAGGTACATGGACCCTTGGGATACAAGCCTTGTGGTGCAAGGGTGAAAGGCTTCATTTCTGGATTCCCTCCTTGCCCTTAAGTTCTTTCTCGAAAGGACCTGGAAAGAGTCAGGACTAGGGCTAGCGGGTTGCTTCTAGGGTTTTTGGGGGTGTTGAAGAGGGTTCATCCTCCATGGGGCTTGGCAGTTGTTGTTTTTCGTTGTTCTGACTGACCTGAAACGCTGCACGAGCTTGAGCTTGCCCGCGAGGGTCAACACTTTGCACCCCTTGCTGTAACGGTGAATCGACTCGTATGTGCATACTCCTGCGCCGCTTCAAGCAGATGCAATCAGCAAGCTGAGGTACTGGAATTCAGTCGCGGGCCCGTACGAGACGCAGGCGTCACTTGCAAGATGTTTTTGCATGTGATACCATCCTCCCCATAATGAACCCTATAAAGGGCCTTTTAAGGGGATATAGGGTATAACAGCCCATCCTGATAGTCTCCGGCCCAGTATACTTCAGCTGTAGTAGCGGTTTGGGCGTCGCCGTTTGGGTCCCTAAGCTTTACAAATCCTCGAAAGATGTAGTCTTTAGGTTCCTAAACCCTATAAGCCCTTTAAACCCACGCCTTAAGACGGTGTTGGCGAGCAGCAGGCTTACAGAACTCCCAGGGCCTGCCTGAAGAGCCCGAAACCTCAGCCCCTGGGAAAATTCTGAAGGAACCTCCCAGGAAATGAAGGTTTGGGGGGTTCAGGGGAACTGTGTAGGATTCTGAAGTAACCTCCAACAACATGAGGGTTTTGGAGCCCTAAACCCTAATGGCTCAGGGCTTGGAATCGGGCGCCCTTGGTCGGTGGCAGGTCGTGTCCCTGAGAGAATACAAGCAGGAGGTGGTTGAGGACGTGCGCGGGAGAGGTTTTGGGTCCTATTATATGGGGTGTTTACGATAATAAGGGACCCCTCATATAGACCCCCCAAAGAGTAGGATCCTTGATAATAAGGACCCCAAGAAGGTACCCCTAATTTCGGAAACCCACTAGTATACGTCCAGAACCCTAAAACCCGAAGCATACGTGCTAAAGCCTCTACAAACCCGTCCCGATCCTGGGCCAGCCTGCGCTTACTATGCTCAACTACACAGAAGGCTTCAGGCTGCGGGGGCTCCAAGTTTCGTCCCTAAACGACGACGGCTTCGTGCATGGGGGGGGGGGCTAACCGAACATAACCTACTGAGAGTACTGGTTCTCAGGAGGCCCTATTCTTAACCCTGTTAGGGGGTTCTATACCCAAAAAATCCCTCATTCCCTACGAAGAGGCAGTGCGTAACATTATGGAGCCACTAATGTGGTGTGGCTCTTCTTGCGGCTAGGGCCAGGGACCCATGATCACGGGTCCAGAAACTGCATCGACCACAGACGTGTAGGATTGGCGGCTTTTGGGTGGTGAAGAGCCTATGTTTTTTTTGCGGCTTTAAAACCCTATATACCCCAAAACCTTAACCCTAACAACCCCCTAAAACACACTCAACCCTCCGGGATTTCGGGGGTTCCGGACCCACGGGAGATTTCACCCCAATCCGTTATCCCCAATCCCTGAAGTCCTGACCGGCAGGCTCGATCATATCCCACTGCACTTGGAACCCTAAAGCCTAAACCTTGAACCCCAAAATCCCTAAGCACCTTTAAACTCTTGAAGCCCCTGGACCGTGACCTGCTAAGTCCTGAAATTTGGACCCAGGACTGGATGAGCATCTCGTTCTGGCTACCTCACTCCCCCCAGGCCTGGGTTTAGGGTTTAGGGTATAGGGTTTAGGGTTTGGGGTTTGGGGTTTGGGGTTTGGGGTTTGGGGTTTGGGGTTCAGGGTTCAGGGTTCAGGGTTCAGGGTTTGGGGTTTGGGGTTTGGGGTTTGGGGCTTAGGGTCCATGGCAGAGTGTATGGGGTGTGCAGGGCATTGAGGGTCCAAATGTGTTCGAAAAGGCTCCACAAGCCCACAAACCCTGCGAACCCTACAAGCCCGATGTCGTGGACCCTACCAAACCCCTGCATTCTAAACCACCGCACAAGCCCTACCTATACGCAAGCCTAAACCCTAGTCCCTAGTCCCTAAACCCTAAACCCTAAACCCTAAACCCTAAACCCTAAACCCTAAACCCTAAACCCTAAACCCTAAACCCTAAACCCTAAACCCTAAACCCTAAACCCTAAACCCTAAACCCTAAACCCAAACCTTATACGCTCATTCTCGTCATCAAGATCATGCTAAGGAACTTAACCCTCTCAGCCCTATCAAAGCCAGGTTGCCAGACTTGGCACAACCCCTTGCCTTCCTTGAGCCCTCGCACCCTTCAAAAGAAAGGGTTTAGGGTTTAGGGTTTAGGATTTAGGATTTAGGGTTTAGGGTTTAGCCCATCTGCACAAACCCTAAACCCTAAACCCTAAACCCTAAACCCTAAACCCTAAACCCTAAACCCTAAACCCTAAACCCTAAACCCTAAACCCTAAACCCTTACCGGTTGCTCCCTATTGCGGCATCTGTCGCTCTGATGCGTTCAACGTCGGGGCTTGGATCACCTGCAACCCTGAAACACCCTACTTCTGTTTTGGTGCGTGTCTTTTTTGGGGTTTAGGGTTTAGGGTTTAGGGTTTATAGGGTTTAGGGTTTAGGGTTGCCAACGTGTGCCCAGGCCCGGCAACCGATGGCGATTCCCGAGGCCGGGCCCTCCGAAGCGCTCAAGATTTTTCCCCCGAAGTTTCTACTTCCCAGTATTGGGGCGGGGGGGGGGGGGGTTAGGGTTTAGGATTTAGGGTTTAGGTTTTAGGGTTTAGGGTTTAGGGCTTAGGGCTTAGGGTTTAGGGTTTAGGGCAAGGTTCCTTCACATGCTTCGGGGGTGAACTAGGTCACCTTTGCACTCCCCCTGGTGTGATAGTGCAAAAGCCTACAGATCTGCAAGTCTCAAAAACCTCCGAGGTCGAACACCTGCCGACCGGCTTGGTTGTTGCAGCCCTAAACTCTAAACCCTAAACCCTAAACCCTAAACCCCTAAACCCTTGCGCCACACTGACTTGCAGCTGTTGAGCTGGGCAAGAACTGGAATCGCAGCCGATTGGCCTAGCATGCGGCCACAGCCATTTTGCAGATCTTCGACAGCCCAAGGCACACCTCAGGTACGGAGGTTTCCCACTGGTCCTTGGCAGAACTGGTGTCGGATGCCATGACGATGGCTGCTGTACATAATTATGCCGTGCAGTGCAAGTCATCACCGAGCCCTCTGACTCTCCAGGGTTGCAGAAGCTTAACCTACAGTTGCCCTAGGACACTGGACAAGTAACTAAGCAGCTTCGGTCTAGCGTATATGAGGTTGCGAGAGCTTATAAGCTAAGACCCGAAACTCGCAACTGCCTTAAACCCTAAGCCCTGCAGGCTAAAGGGCCCTAACATTAAGATAACATGACATAACCCGAAATGTCTAAACCCCAAACCCTAAACTGAAAACCCCTAAAAGGCCCTAAAATTCAAGAACAGAATTCTAAGACCTGAGGCCGTGGAGCAATTGGGCCACGACACCGACGGCATTCGATGGCAGCAGGGCCCCCAGCCGTTCGAGGACTCTTTCTTTCATGTTGGGGTTTAGGGTTTAGGGTTTAGGGTTTAGGGTTTAGGGTTTAGGGTTTGGGATTTGGGGTTTGGGGTTTGGGGTTTAGGGTTTGCGGTTTAGGGTTTGGGGTTAGGGGTTGACGGGTCCCCATATTTTCAACTCCTCCCTTGGGTCCAAAATTTTCAAGTTTGCATGGGCACCGCACTCACAGCAAGGGAAACCGAAGGAAGGGCATGCCACCCACAAACCCTAAGCCCTAGGCCTATATCAACCCCTAAACTGTTACTCCTAAACCGCTCGAACCTTGATACCCCCAAAACCCCAAACCCCAAACCCTAAACCCTAAACCCTAAACCCTAAAACCCTAAACCCTAAACCCTACTACCCCCCAAAAACCTAAAGCAGCAGCCCCCAAAAAGGTCCGTGGAGTCGAAAGTCTCAGAACAGCAGTGGGAGAGCCACTCCCAACGCATGCGGCGTCCCAGCCCTAGTGCTCGGGTTGAGGGCTGCCGCAGTTTTGAGGGCTTAGGGTCGAGGGTTTGGGGTTTAGGGTTTAGGGTTTAGGGTTTAGGGTTTAGGGTCCAGGGTTGAGGGCTTAGGGTAGAGGGCGGGGCTTTGACCTTGTATTGCTTTAGATCCCTGCCATGCTTGTGTTTCGGGCATCTTTGATAAGGTAAGTGGAGGCGGCTCGATGCCACTACTGTTCAGGAGCTTAGATGAAGTTACCCTAAGCCCAGTAACTAGTAATTAAATAAGGTTACACACTTGTACATAGTGCCCCTTGTATGGGAAACTTACGTTAGGCTCCATAGCAGGAGCCCGTCTCATAAACATCCACGCAAGAATGGTCGACTCGAAGGCGCATCATCTAGGAGGCTTTCGTTCACAACAAGCCACTGCAAACTCAACGCAGCTAGCACCGCAAAGGAGTATGGCATGTACAGCGCGTGGTATAGTAGAGAGAGAGAGAGTGCAGTTCATTGCGAATGTACATATTTCACAAAGCACAGGTGCACCTGAGTGTGGGACGTGAAGGAACTGCGCCATAGTGGAGCGCATGTGCGGTGACACATGCCCGACGATGTCCATAGACCCGCCGTGAACTACTGCCCCACGAAGCGGCCCCGAACACCTCAGCCCTAATCCCCACAGCACCCATAGTCCCAATATCCAGAAACCGGTTCTTAACGCCCAAGCTGAAACCCCACGCAAACCCCTTCAGATTGCAGGTTACTTACTAGGTTACTTACTAGGTCAGGGAACTAAAACTCACGAAACCGAAACCAGGAGAGTTTGCCGCCTGTGGCATCACGCCGCCCGAAAACCAAAACCAGGAGAGTTTGCCGCCTGTGGCATCACGCCGCCCGAGGTGGTGCCGGGGCCCTTCCTGTACCCTAAACCCTAAACCTTAAACCTTCTCCAAACCTGTTCCGTACTAAATGGGGTTTGAAGAACAATCGGACTTTCCTTAGGTACTGGATATAGGTAACCTTTGCGCTTCGTGGCTAGTAGAAAACTCTTTGGAACGCTGAGGTACGCCCATTCCACGAAGACGCAGCCTTAAGCCCAATCCTAAACCCGAAACCCCAAACCTCTAAAACCCTTAAACCCTAAAACCCCAAACCACTAAAAACCCTAAAACCTAAACACGCCTGCCCGAGAAGCTTCAAATCCCAAGGAGTGACTAAACATCCAGACCATGCAGTTGCAGTCTGTAAGAACCCTGAGCCCCAAACCCTGAACCCAAAAACCACCTGATCCCCAAACACTGTCCCAAACACTAAACCCTTAACCCCCAATCCCTAAACCCTCCTACCTAGCCTATTCTAAAGACCGTCCCAAGCCCCTGAAATCCCGGAAGACCTACAAGCCTCTCTGCATATGTTTGGGCAACCCCCCTCAACCAGCAAAAAACAAAAAATGCAACAAAAAGCTTACAAACAAGCGAGACAACTCATGGCCCTTGACTTGACCCCACAAAAAAAGAGTTGAGGGTTGAAGGCTGCAAGGTTCATGTTTTATAAGCATCCCTAAACCCTAAACCCTAAACCCTAAACCCTAAACCCTAAACCCTAAACCATCAGACCCGAAGACCCTAAGGTCCCTGAAAAAAAATATAGGAAGCCCCCCAAAAGGCGCCTTCTACGCCCCCCCCCCCCAAAAAAAGACCTTAGAGTGCCTAAGAGTCCCTGGACCCCTCTGTGGGCCCCCTAAAGCGGCCGAAACTCCCTAAACCCCCCCAAAGCCCTATAAGCCCCCTCAACCCCCCCCTAAAGCCACCTAACGCTCCCTCAGCCCTAAACCCTGAACTCCCTAGACTAAACCCTTAACCCCCTAAACCCTAAATCCTAAACCCTAAACCCTAAACCCCCGACTCCCTAAAGCTTCGACCCGAGGCCCTATCAAGATGCCCAGGGCCGGTCTCAGGTGGAGCTCGGGGCCCAAGTACCACAAAAGCTGGTTTAGGGTTTAGGGTTTAGGGTTTAGGGTTTAGGGTTTAGGGTTTAGGGTTAAGGTTTAGGGTTCAGGGTTCAGAGTTTAGGGTTTAGAATATAGGGTTCAGGGTTCAAGGTTCAGGGTTTAGGATTTAGGGTTTAGGTCGTTTACATGGTTTCGGACCCTTTGATGATTTCGGGTTTCGGGCTCACTGTTTCTGAGGGCCTTTTTTGTGCAACGGTAGAAACAACAGTGTGGGGGTTGGGATCAGGGTTGAGGGCTAAAGGTTGTACCCTAAACCCCAAACTCCTTATGTACAGTCTTCGCGTGTTTGCGGGTTCTGGGCAGCAGAACATACAAGCAAGGGCATTATTACCATGAGATGATGTTCGAGCTATTTAGAATAGTGACTTTGGCTCCGTTTGAGTGTAGGATTTAGGCCTTGGGGGTTGCAGGCTTTGATATTTCAGGGTTTTGGACTCTCAGGGTTTGTGTTTTTCACGCTTTGGTGGCGAGGCGTGGGGTGTAGCCCAATACTCTTCAAACCGCTCTTTCTCCTTAAGCCGAATCCGGTGCAGCCCCTGAGATTGAAACCCTAAACCCTAAACCCTAAACTCTCCCCCCCCCCCCTCCGGCCGAGGCTGCGGCCAAAGCAGAGTCCATACTGAGCGCCTGTTTCACAAGAGTGCCCGGGGTTGATTTGGAACATGTTGCAGGTCTGCAGGCCCTAATCCCGCATGTGTATATACATACATGTATATATATATATGTATGTATGTATGTATGTATGTATGTATGTATGTATGTATGTATGTATGTATACACTGTATACACATACAACTCAAGGTCCTAATCGCGACCACACACGCAGAGACCATGTAACCCGATTTGGAATAGATTTTCAAGTTCAATGGGCCCTGATCCCGACAACCCATAATTAGAAGTTGTGTTTTCAGGCCCCCAAATCCACCCCGTGTTCAAGGATGCGTCATCGACGCGTGTCATCTATCGTGCTCAAAAAAGCATGGTGCAAAGTGTAAACCCTACCTCAAGTGGTTACCTTAGATCCATTAAAGTGGCTTTGCAATAGGAACCTACAGAAAAATAGGTGTTGGGTTCATGAGGTAAGCCCGAAACCCTATACCCTAAACCCTAAACCCTAAACCCTAAACCGCTGGTGTGGCCAAACTGTTGCTGGCGCTCAGCTGCGGATTCGCAGCTCCAGCATTTTGCTGTAGGGCCTCAGCCACTTCGATTCTGTGGGTTTGGGGTTTTAAGGGTTTTAAGGGTTTAGGGCTTTAGGGGTTTTAAGGGTTTACAGGGTTCAGGGTCTGAGAGGGTTCAGGGTTTGGGGTTTGGGGTTTTGGGTTAAAATAGACACCCAAATAGTAGGATCCCCTTATAATAAGGACCCCGATAAGGTACCCCTAAGATCGTAAACCCCCATACAGACATCGCAAGCATACAAATAGCAGAAGCCAAAGCAGAATGCGGCTTGGGGTTCAGGGTATTTGTTCTCGCCTTTGACATGAATGCTTGGATTTCATTTTTGCCGTGCACAATGGAAATGGTTCCTTGTTGCCTTCGCTTCACTTCACGGGCCTTTTGCGTAGCCAAGTCCGACGAGTCCAACTACTTGCGCGTAGAATCTGGCAGCAATCTCTTTCCGTTGCCCATACTGTTGGTGTTTTTTACTTCAAAACACCCTAAACCCTAAACCCTAAACCCTAAGTCTTTTTCATGCAAGCAAACAAACCTTCTGGGCTCTTTTGGGAGCAGAGAGGCTTCATGGCGCTGGTTCCGGTTCCAGGGATTGCCTTCGGGCCTGCAGTGCCCCCGGAGTTTAGACAGAAGCGCAAGAACCCCTCAAGTATCGGTTAGGGTTTAGGGTTTAGGGTTTAGGGTTTAGGGTTTAGGGTTTAGGGTTTAGGGTTTAGGGTTTAGGGTTTAGGGTTTAGGGTTTAGGGTTTAGGGACGTGGTAATGAGACAACCTATGCCAGCTAGTAACAGGCTTCGAGCGACCTGCAATGACAGCAGGGAAGGGCGAGGCCTTCGATGGCTACGCGTCGGTGAATGCTTCTTTGTCAGAAGCTCAGCCCGCCTCGAAACCCAGAAGACTCGCCAACCCTTAAACCCTTACCCTGCGACAACCAGAAGCCCTGACTAAACCCCTGAAACCCCAGGCTGTGCAAAAAAAGCCCTCAAAGAGAAGGGTGCTTCCGGAGAGGGTTAGGGCCTTCCTGAGGCCCCTGAGCATTTTTTGGGTTCTCCGGGTACCTTCCCCCCATCCCTGGACACCCCTCCCTTAAGAACCTTGCAACAAGCAAGGCCGTACCTCAACCTGCAACACCTCTTACTTCGCCTTTCGTTGAACTTTATAAACTTTTTGGGTCTCCGTATTTAGTAGGAATATTAAAGTTTAACCTTTTTTTCCCCTTGGTTATTGGAGAAGTAAGACCTGCTACCCCTGATCACCCTAAACCCTAAACCCTAAACCCTAAACTCTAAACCCTGCATGTGGCTCAGGGTTCATCACCCTGCGGCCCTACAACATGGGTTTAGGGTTTAGGGTTTAGGGTTTCGGGTTTAGGGGGGCGTTTAAGGTGTAAGTTTTGGGGGTTTGGGCTTAGGGCTCTAAGATTGTTAACCTGACTTGCCTGCCTAAGGAAGGCACTGCGTGAGCAACGTGTGGCGCGCGAAGCGGAAAGGCCGAACCAAGAGCCTTCAGTTTACTCCCAACTCCTGATCTGCAGAGCGGTTTTAGGGCTTGGGGTTTAGGGTTTGGGGTTTAGGGTTTGGGGTTTAGGGTTTAGGGTTTAGGGCAGTTTAGGGTTTAGGGTTTAGGGCCAGAACCTTCGTTCAAGGATGTGTAGGGTGTGGGGGGGGGGGGGGGGGGGGATGGGACGAGGGGCGCCGGTTCTTTCTGTGTCTGCTGCGGTCTTCTTCTGGGCCTCTTCCGGGTTCAACCCTAAACCCTAAACCCTAAACCCTAAACCCTAAACCCTAAACCCTAAACCCTAAGCTAAAGAGCCTACGCCCTACCCTAAACCCTAAAACCGCTCTGCAGATCAGGAGTTGGGAGTCGGGAGTCGGGAGATTGGTCTTGACCGGGTAAGGAAGGAACGAAAGAAGCTTTCCCTAAGGGTCCATGTACCTATATAGTATATACTTAGGCCCTAAAGCTACTATATGGGAACCCCTTTAAGGCCCAAGTATATACTATATAGGTACATGGACCCTTAGGGTTTATGGTTCAGTTGACCTAAGATACCGGGATCATCCTGAAGTCCTATGCTACTTTTTGATAGAGTTTTCGGCCCTTTTAGGGCAGAGTGCCTTAACTCGAACGGGACCGCAGGGAGGCCATGGTAAGCGCAGATTGAGGGTTTAGGGTTTAGGGCTTAGGGTTTAGAGTTTGTGCTTAGGGTTTAGGGTTTAGGGCTTAGGGTGTAGGGTTTAGGGTTCACTCTGGGTGCTGGAGCCGTAATTCGTGTTAGCACACTTGGTTGGGGAAGAGACCTTCGATGAAGGAATCCTAAAGCCTAAACCCTAAACCCTAATACAACTAAATTAGGAGCCCTTGTTTGTTTCCTAACCCCCTTTTGCCAATTCAAGTGTCTAAGGCTCACCGGGTAAGGGAGATGAGGGAATCCCAGCTTTTTGGCTGTCTTGAAACCCCCTGCACCCGCACTTTCCATAACTTTCCTACATCCCAACATGTACCGTAATGCTCCTAAACCCCTAAACCCTAAACCCTAAACCCTAAACCCTAAACCCTAAACCCTAAACCCGAACAGGCCTCAACCCGAACAACGCCCGCCGGCCCGGAAAGGCACCAAAACGAAGGCCATACCCTGCATAAATGTATTTGTTGAATGCAAAAATCGAATGTTGGGCACACGCCTTGAATTCAGGATGTTGGGGCTTAGGGTTTAGGCTTTAGGCTTTAGGCTTTAGGGTTTAGGCGGGGCCTTCTGGGCATGCTGCAGCCCGCACCCTCAAGCCTATTAGACCCTGAGCCCCCTAGAAGCCCTGCGTCGTTGACGCGCCTGAAGATCACAAAGCTTCCCACTTGAGGTTCATTCATGGGTACTTCTAACTCCAAGTAAAAGTCTACGTACTGAAAGCCGACTTGTGGCACTTAGGGGCTTATAAGTACACTTTAGATCCTTAGCCTTTTTGGGCTTATTGGGTTTCTTAATAAGGCAGCGAAAAATCGAATATATAGCTACCCTGCTAAGTGCAGCCAAGAAATGGGGGGCATACGTAGCCAAGCAGGAATTGGGAGAGACCGCAGACCCTCTTCCTGGCAGGCAGGCTGCTTACCTGACCGTTCCTAGTTTGGAATTGTGGGAAGCTATTTACCGCCAGTTTGCAGGATTGTAGCTAGTATGTAACTTAGCCTCATGTTTCAAAAATATTTGCAACTAGACTTCATCAAACAAAAGCGGTGCCTAGAAGGGAGAGCTTTGGGTCAAAAGCCGGGCAAGACTTAGTGCGATGTGCCCGCCTACTATCGTACCTGTAGTTCAAGGGCATCAGGCTCATAACCTTAAGCGTTGGAAAATGTAGACCACCGACTTGCAGGGCCGTTTTTGCAAGCACTGGGCTAGGATGCCCCATATTTTTCGTTAACAGTAATTGGGGTCTTAGGGTAGGGTTTAAAGTACAGCGCAATTCTTTTTGGCAAGGCCCGTGAAACGCCCGATAAACAAGATCGTCTGTGGTTGTCGGGCTCCCGGGCCAGTAGCAAAGTTGGGAACTTGTGTCCTGACGGGCCGGGGGGCACCATGGCCGTCGCATCGTTGCGGCCTGCGCGCAGGAGATGCGCGACGCGAATGGGAGTCTCAGAGGCGCCCCTTGGCCGCCTCTGCATCTTACTTCTGGCAGCCTCTGTAAGCTGGGCATGTGCGCCCCTCTTCGCCATGGAGGGACCCTCCAGCAAGGCACCTCAGCTGGGGCGGAGCCCGGAATCTCGCAGCGTTTATGTGGGAAACCTTCCCTGGAGCACCAGGGGCGAGGAGCTTGGCGAGATGTTTGCAGAAGTGGGCACAGTTCTCCGGAGCGAGGTCGAGATGGCAAAAGGCAGGTCGCAAGGTTGGGCTACAGTGACCGTGTCCTCGCCAGCAGAGGCCATGAAAGCCGCAGAGAAGTTTGACGGTGTCACGATCCAAGGATCGCTCAAAGGCGACACAGTCGAGCGCCAAATCGTTGTGAATCTCGAGAAGCGCTCTTTGGTGCTTAGTAACTTGCCCGACACCACCACGTTCAACGAAATCAGGGACATGTTCAAGGACGTCGGGCGCCCACGCTGGATCAACCGTGGCCTATCCCACAACGAGAAGTCACCTGGACACGCGGTGGTTATTTTCTATACAGAGGAGGATGCCCAAAAGGCTTTGAGTATGAACGAGAAGGAGATGGGAGAGTGGACTCTGTACGTGGGCCACATTTGATTTATGCCCTTGCACAGTGCTTCAGCCGCTTCAGAATGGCATCGTCATGCGTCTTGCGTCGTGTGTGTGGTGTGCGCCTCACTATATCATTTGTGCAGGCGCGTGTGAGCGAAAGGAACTCACTTCGTGGGGCTGTTCATTTCTTTCACTACATCAGGTATCATCCCCGCCCCGGGGTCTCTTCTGTTAAGCCCTATAAACTACCCTGAACCCTATAAACCCTATAAACCCTATAAACCCTATAAACCCTATAAACTCCAAACCTTATCAGCTCCTCACAGTTGTGGTTTGGGGGGCCCCGGGAAAAAAAGGGGGGGCTTTCCAAAAGTTCCGCATAGTTGAGATCAACCTCCCCATGTGCGCACATGGGCCCGCCGGTGCATCCGAATACACAAAACGGTTTTCTGTAGAGTTTACGGTTTGGGGATGAAAAGGAGGGGGGGTGGGGTGCTTGATGGTCCGTGAGTAAGAAGCTACGTGTACGCAGATCTTGCAAGTGCCCAAATACAAGGCTTGGGGTTTAGGGTTTAGGGTTTAGGGTTTAGGGTTTAGGGTTTAGGGTTTAGGGTTTAGGGTTTAGGGTTTAGGGTTTAGGGCTTGAACCAACGGCGACAGCAATTTATGGTTACCAGGACCCGAAATGGATTCAGAATGTACCAGTGGCGCAGAACCCAACTGAACGGCCTTTCGACCATCTCAAACTCGGCCAAAGCATTCGGCCAAGACTCTTTGGGACCCAAACCCTACAAAATTCCTACAGGCTTCGAGCGAAGCTTCTAGGGTTTAGGGTTTAGGAATAAGGGTTTAGGGTTTAGGAATAAGGGTTTAGGGTTTAGGGCTAGGGTTTAGGGTTTCGGAATAAGGGTTTTGGGTTTTGGGTTTAGGGTGTAGCCCGAAGCTTGAGGCGAGAGCTCGCCAGCCTTGCGGCTGTGCTCCGAGCGGTCCTTGATGTTCTTGTTTCACACGATGGGGTGTTTTCGTTAAGGGTTTAGGGTTTAGGGTTTAGGGTTTAGTCTGGGTGAGGGGGTTTAGGTTCCAGGATTTAGGGTTTCCCTTATTACAAGGAGGTCCGTCTGTCGAGAGGCCCTAATCAGTCTCGGGGGCGAGACTCCAGGGTTTGGGATTGAAGTTTTAAGGTTTAGGGTTTAGGGTTTAGGGCTGTTTAGGGATTCGGGTGGAAGGTTTTTGGGCCCCACCCACCCTAGGGCTTCGAGGGTCCAGGACGTCAGGGCTTTTGGATTCAGAGTGGTTTTTGCCCTAAACCCTACACCCCAAACCCTAAATCCCAACCCCAAACACCAATTCCCAAACCCCAAGCCCCAAACCCCAAACCCCAAACCCCAAACCCTAAACCCCAAACCCTAAACCCTAAACCCTGCAGAGTTTAGTGGGGGGTGGGGGATCTCTAAACCCTAAACGCTATAAACCCTAAACCTTAAACCCTAAACCCTAAACCCTATGGCAGATTTCTGACTTAAGGGTGTTTGGGGCTCGCTGGGCTTTGCTTGGTCACTCCGTCACGGCGCCCCCAGCGCCCTGGAAAGGTTGGGGTTTAGGGTTTAGGGTTCAGGGTTTAGGGTTTAGGGTTTAGGGTTTAGGGTTTAGGGTTTAGGCTTTACGTGGCATATGCCCGACGGCCTTCCGTCAGGAATCCCTCCGGAGGCCAACACAGAAATCTCTCCCCACCCAAGCGGCGTTCTCCTAGGACCGGGAGTAGGCCCTTTTTTTCCTCCCAAAGAGCCCAATATTGCTTAATTAAGCAATATACGTTAAATCATATAGGGGTCCTGAATATGATTTAAGGAATATTCCTTAATTCAGCAATATTGGGCTCTTTGGGCTTGCTTTAGGGTTGGGGTTCCCTTATACTCCCCTTAAAACCACAAAGAGGACCCTGTTTATTTTCTAGGCGACTCCCGGGCTGAGTGTCTGTCAAGGACACGACCAGGGCAGCATTCTTGGCAAGACTCTCCATCCTCCCCACGCAAGACCACGCGAGACCCCGCAAGTATGGCAGCCTTGCATGGGCCAAAGGGGCCCTGAACCCAAACCCTAAAACTCTTTGCATGTAAACCCTTTGTGGTGCTTTACTGTAACCTGAGATCCTAAGCCTTTTTTGGGTTTATTGGGTTTCTTAATAAGGCAGCAAAAATTCAATTTATAGCTACCCTGCTAAGTGCAGCCAAGAACCCTAACCCCATACATCCAAAAACTCTTTGCATAGTAACGGCCTGCAGGCAGCATTGAAATCTGCCCTGAACGATTAATGAATGATCTTAAACTTGCAAAGACACAGATTGCTGAGGCGACGGCGAGATCAACGCGAAATTGGCGTCAGAATGAGACAGAGAACGAAGATACCGGGAGTAATGACAAGATCAATAAAGAAAGAAAGGATAAGTCAAGAGCGAGGAGTGGGAGAGAGAGATTGAGAGAGCGAGAAAGAAAGAGAGAGAGAGAGATAGCGAAGCGAGCAAGCGAGCGAGCGAGGGTGCGTGTGAGGACCTGGATACGGTAGCATCCCTGGACATAAGTTCCTAAAACCCTAAACCCGAAACTTAAAATCCTAAGCCCTAAACCCTAAACCCTAAACCCTTAACCCTTAACCCTTAACCCTAAACCCTAAACCCTAAACCCTAAACCCTAAACCCTAAACCCTAAACCCTAAACCCTAACCCTTAAACCCAAAGCCACAACTTCATTGAGGTCCCCGGGCTGCACCTGGGCGCGCGTGTTTGGTCCTCCGGCCAAGCCCTTGCTGAGGCGTGGGTAAAGGGTTTAGGGTTTAGGGTTTAGGGTTTAGGGTTTAGGGTTTAGGGTTTAGGGTTTAGGGTTTAGGGGTTCACGAAGCCTTCAAACGCTTTGGGGTTAGGGCTTAGGGTTCAGGGCTTGGGGCGACAATTTCAGGGCTTTAGGGGTTTCATGGTTGCGGGGTTTTATGTAAAGCTTTAGGGCTTAAGGGTTTGGGATATAAGGCCAGGGTGTAGCAGCTGGGGTAATCATGCTTTTCAGGTTTGAGGGGGATAGTATTTGCTGTTGAATGTTGAAGTCCACAGGCCAGGGCTGTGAGACTTTGGCTGTCGATTCGTTGCCCACTTGGGTTTACGGCATAGGTCCTTCAGTTGGAGTTGGCCCTAAGCCCTAAACCCCAAACCCTAGCCTCACCCCTCTAAGCAAAGCAACTCAGCCTGTAGACCCTAAACTGTAGACCCTAAACCCTGAACCCTGAACCCTAAACCGTAAACCCAGACCCCCCCCCAAACCCCTAAGCATTGAGCTGCCCGAGATGCCTGAAGCCCTAGAAGCCCAAGACATCCCAAGCACAAAACCAACAAGGAGGATTGGGGTTTTTTGGGTTGTGTATAGGGTTTAGGGTTGTAGGGTTTAGGGTTGTAGGGTTTAGGGTTGTAGGGTTTAGGGTTTGGGGGTGTCTAAATGATAGATCGCCGACCAAGGAAAAGGAGCCCTCCACCCTAGACCCATTTAAGCCCTTGAACCCTATACACCCTATGAACCCTAAACCCTAAACCCCAAACCCTAACCCCCTTTTGGGTTGGGGCGGACCCGAAAGGCCGTGGCGCAGGGGCGGTGTCCAGAGCTGCGTGGGGCGAGGTCGGGGGGCTATTCGCTGTCTTTAGGGGTTAGGGTTTAGGGTTTAGGGTTTCAAAACTTTGGGATCTCAGCCTGCGAGAAGAAGGACCCCAAAGGGATCATTATTTAGACACGTGACCATGTGTTTGTTCAAGACCTGTTTTTTTTTCTGGGGGGCAAGGCAGCGGAGGAAGGCGGCAGGGTTCGAATACTTGTGTACATTGAGTGTAGGCCTTTGGTGCCGGCCAGAACGGCACAATCTGCACTCTTGCTCCTATAGCCTGCTAACCCCTCAACCCTAAACATCTGAGGTTAAAGGCTGGAAGAAGGAGTCCTATGTCGTTTTGAAGGAGCCAAAAGGAGGCTGTAGGGAGGTCTAGATAGGCTTCCAGAAACCCCAAACCGTAAACCCTAAACCCTAAACAAACCCTTACCCCCAACCCTTAGACCCTAAAACCCTAAAACCCTAAAACCCTAAAACCCTAAAACCCTAAAACCCTAAAACCCTAAAACCCTAAAACCCTAAAACCCTAAAACCCTAAACCCTAACCGGCCCCTTATGTCTTCCCTGATCTCACCTCAAGCCCTGGAGCACCAAAAGGCCCCGCTTCTTCCGGTTCTCATGGTTGCCGAACATCTCAGAGGGGAACCATGGGCCCTTAGTACCCAGAGACTCCAAAACCCCTTAATTTTTGGAATATCCCTTCAAGTCAAATTAAGAACCCTAGTATGTTTAAGGTATATTCCTGAATTAAGGGGTTTTGGAGTCTCTGGGTATGGTCCCGTACCCTTGTTTATAGGGATCCCAAGAATGGGCCTTTGCTAGGTATAGTGTGTGTACACAAGGGTTGGACCCAAATTCAGGGCACATACTTCGGGTTCCCTGCAGCAGGTCTTGTTAAGCTACTATTTTGCTTAAGAACCCCCCAACAAAATAAAATGAAAAGTGCTTTTCCCTACAAGGGCATTACGAGGATCATTTGTTGTTGTTCTTTTTTTGTTAAGGGGGGATGGGTTCCTAAGCAAATGGTAGTAACAGCCCTTGTTAAGGATGAACTTGCAAGGGGCCTCCCGTACTTCAAGTCAAGTCTGTCATTTTGAACCCTGAACCTGAACCCCATAGACCCACTCTAGGAGCCCCCGACCCCTCATAATCCCCATGATAATATGAGGAAGTCAAAGTACCCATTCTAATGTTCAGAGGCTCCTAAACCCTAAACCCTAAACCCTAAACCCTAAACCCTAAACCCTAAACCCTAAACCCCCTTCAAGCCCAAGGTGCCTGGAGTTGGGCGCGGGCTTGGGTACCAAGCTCGGTGATTCGGCAGCCCCGGGTCTCGTTTAGGGTTTAGGGTTTAGGGTTTAGGGTTTAGGGTTTAGGGTTTAGGGTTTGGGGTCTAGGGTTTAGGGTTTAGAGGTTCTTAGTAGGGACTGAGGGAATGAGGTACACTATATAATCCTTGAAGGATACACATAGGGCCCGAATGCCTCATTCCCTACTAAGAACCTGGGTTTAGGGGTTAGGGATTTGGGGTTTGGGGTTTGGGGTTTGGGGGAGCATCTTGAGTGGCTTCAGGCTTAAGGTTTTTGTTGGCCCTGTTGGTTTCGTTTTTGTGGAGTTGTAGGGCTTCAAAGGGGTTTTTAAGGGTTTCTGTAGGTTTTGTATCGGATTTACAGAGTTGACAGGCTTTCAAGAAAGTGCCAGGTTGAACGAAGCTGAAAGTTGGAGTGTTCTTGGAGGTTCCATAGTGGGGATTGTGCTAGAGTCGAGGTTTAGTGGTGCAAAAAGGGAGGACCCGAACTCTTGAAACCCCAAAACGCCGACATTTCTGCAGGCAAGCGTGGACATTCCTTCAGTTGCATTACATGTATTTCGGGTTTCGGGTTTGGGGTTTAGCTTGGGATGTTCTCCCCTTATACTAACAGCCCTTAATCAGGATTCGAATAGGGGGTACTATAATCTCAAGTTTTAGCACTCTTAGGGTCAAGCTGGGTGTACTGTAGGGGTTGGGATTTAGGAGTGGTTTAGGGTTTGGGGTCTAGGGTTTAGGGTTACGGGATCTACTTTTCTCGCCTACTGATGGCTCAAGGATCATGCAAGGTAGGGAAGCTCAAGCATGCACCTACGGGCAGCCTAAGAAGCACCCAATCACATGCCGGATGCAATTCTGCTAAAAGCCAGATCTAAACATCATACCCCTATAGACCTTCCGTAGGTACTCTGAACTAATCTTAAAATGCGAAGTCTAATCTCAGCGGTGCCTGCACCACCATTTGGGCAAAGTCACATGGAACTGCCCTCGCTTAGGAAACCAAAAAGAGACAGGCGATTCCAAAACCCTAACCCTAAACCCTAAAAACCCTAAAGCCTTGCTAAGCTCCCAAACCCCGCAGCCCTAAATAAGCCGCAGTAACTTGAAGCCTACCCCTAAGCAAGTTGTTTGACCCTCCCCAATTAAGCCCAAGACCCCAAAACACTCGACGATAAGCCCCATGCACCTACTAGTTTGCTGGAAGTCGACCTAAACCCTAAACCCTAAACCCTAAACCCTAAACCCCAAATCCTAAACCCTAAACCCTAAGCCCTAAGCCCTGAACCCTAAACCCTGTCATGAGTCCCAGGTAAGTCCTAGAGACTCCATGGAGACGCCATGTTTCCCTCGATCGGCCCTTGAGCCCTTCTGGGCGCCCCAACATCCTGGTGTCTCCCGAAGGGAGGAGGGACCTCGTGAGCAGGCGGCAGCTTTTTTTTTTTTTTTTGGGGGGGGGTTATGGGGTTTTTAGGGTTAGAGGGTTTACAGGGTTTTTAGGGGTCTAGAGGGTGTTTAGGGGTGTATAGGGCTGTTGGGGTTATAGGATTAAGGTGGCGTTAGGGGACTTAGGGGTGTCTAGGGTTTTGGGGGTGGCATGGGGGCCTTGGTCCAAGAGGAGCTGGTCCCTTCGTATGGCCCCTTGCCTTCGTTATCTTGGTAGCCCAGTGGTACCCTTTGCCCTTTGTTTTCTCTTTTTGTTGTTTGTTACGGGTTCCCTTATAGAGTAACCAACCCCAAAAGAAGGGGTGCCCTGATTATAATAGGGTTACTGGGCGACCAAATCAAGGAGCCAGCAAGTTTGCCTTAAAGCCTAAACACAGCCTGGGTCCAACTCCTCTCGGATGCAAGCTCCTTACATCCTGCCAGGACGTTTCAGGCTTATATATATATATATATATGCACACATGTATGTACACACACACATATATATATATATATACATATGTATATGTATATACGTGTGTGTGTACGTGTATACATGTTACAGCCTTGTATATGCGTATATACATATATATATATACACAGATATATATATATATATATATATACATACATATATATATATATACACATAGAGAGAAGTTGGGAAGCTCCCCTCCTAAAGTCTTGAAACTGTCCCGTCCGCCAGCCCCGGCATGCCGCGCCTTTGGTGGTTTCCGCCTCCTTCGGCGTCGCAGCGCAGCGACGCCGGCACCAGCGCCGCAGCGTGGGTCGTGCGGCCGAGATTTTGGGCTAGGGCTGAAGGGTTTAGGGGTTTAGGGTTTAGGGTTTAGGGTTTAGGGTTTAGGGTTTAGGGTTTAGGGTGTTTTAGGGTTATAGGGTTTTTGGGTTGTAGGGGTTTAAGGTTTTAGGGGTAGGGTTTATGGTTTAGGGTAGTTTAGGGTTCAGGGTTTAGGGTTGGGGTTCAAGCCTTGTTGGGTTGCTTTTGGGCTTAGGGTTTTAGAGGGTTTTCGGTGCTGACACGGCCGTCTGCACAAGGCGGACTGGGGTAAGGTAGTATGCTGTTGCCCGTAACAAGCCTTTACCGTCTATGTACCCAGTGGTCCAAACTGCATAAATGACCTGGGTTGCGTTTAGGTTTTGGGGTCCCAAATCCCAAACCGTATAAATCTCGGCATAAAGAAGTCTGTGGAATCTGCACCGACACATACACCTCAAAGAAATCAGGGATTTCGAGGCTTCCAAAAGCCCTGAACGTCGACCCTGAGAATCTTAAACCCCATAACTTAGAGCCCTAAACCCTAAACTCTACACCCCTAAACCCGTAAACCCTAAACCCTAAACCCTAAACCCTTTGCTTAAACCTTCAAGCCCCAGAAGCCCTCGAACCCAGGCCCGCGGAGCCTCAAAACAAGCTTTGCCTATAGGGTTTGGGGTTTCGGGTTTAGAGTTTCGGGTTTAGGGTTTTGGGTTTTGGGGTTAATGGCAACCATGTTAACGATCCGAATGCCCTCCAAAGTTTGCGGCTCCCTCTTTGGGTGAAACCCTAAACCCTAAACCCTAAACCCTAAACCCTAAATCGTGTTGAAGGCCTTTCGCAGCCGCAGCCACGCACCAAAAAGAGCAACTTGTCCCAGGCCTAGGCTTCAGGGTTTAGGGTGTAAGAAGGTGTTTAAAAAGAAGGTTTAGGGTTTAGGGTTTAGGGTTCAGGGTTTAGGGTTTGGGGTTTAGGGTTTAGGGTTTAGGTTTAGTTTTTAGGGCTTGGGGTGTACGATGTTAAGAGTACCAGGCTTCGGGATGCGCGGTGTATAGGGCTTTTACGGTTTTGGGTGTACCTATGGTCCATTACCTTTACCTCCTTTGGCCCTAGTTCCTTTGTGTGTTCCGCCCTCACACCTAAAGCGAAGGCTTAGGCCCGTGAAGCCTGCAAAACTAAGCCAAGGGTAGTTTCATAGGGCCTGAGTACGGCCCCTTACCTTCTTTAAAGGGTTCTGATGTATGGGCCCTGAAATTTGTAAAGGGTAGATAGGGGGTGTATTGGGTGCATAAGGGGTCCCCTTGTAAGGGCCCATATTAAGGGACCAGGTTCGGGGCTTCAGGCTCAGGGCCTACATGGGTGTACCGTACCCTAAAAGCCCCCTGATCATATGGGCCAAGCCTATGTCTGAGGGCGGTGCCAAAACTGAACAAGGTTTAGTTTAGGGTGTACTAATTGCTTGAGAACCACAAACAACAAAAAAGGCTCTTCCTTATTAAGGGTAATATCGGATTATTGTTTTTTCTTTTGGGGGTTCTTAAGCAAATAGTAGTGTAGTGTTTAGGATGTCGGGTCTAGGGTGTAGTTTGTCAATCCAGGAGGTCAAGCTTCAACAATGTGGTCTCAATATATGGCGGCCCCGATTATCTAGGCTACCCCAACAAGGGGTTGCATACGCCCTTGATCCCCCCCTCCCTTAAGGAACCCATAAAAAGCCAACAGGATAAGGGGCTTATACCCTAAAACCCTAAACCCTAAACCCCCTCCCGCCCCCTAAAGGATAAGGGGCTTATACCCGAAGTCGCACCCGACTAAACCGTTGCAACGTAGGTCCGAGCCACATCGTCACACACCTTCGCGCAACATGTAATCCCATCATAGTTGAAAGGCTCACCCTAAACCCGCCTAAACCCTAAACCCTAAACCCTAAACCCTAAACCCTCTTGGGCCCAGGCTACGCGGCAACTAGGAGGCTGTTTACGGGGTTGGTCTCCGTACGAGAGGGAGCTCGGGCTCTTAGGGCCTGAGGTGTGCAGGGCCTAATCGTTGGGCGCCCCTAAACGCTCCTAAACCCTAAACCCTAAACCCTAAACCCTAAACCCTAAACCCTAAACCCTAAACCTCCGAAATCCGGAGCTTAGAGCAGTTCGGGGGCCGAGGCACCAGCCTTCCAAGAGGGAACCTCCACCTGCTCAAGAGATACGGCGACGAGCTTCGGGCTCATGGTGGATATCCGGGAGTTAGGTTTAGGGTGGTTTAGGGTGATTTAGGGCTTAGGGTTTGGGGTTCAGGGTTCAGGGTTCAGGGTTCAGGGTTCAGGGTTCAGGGTTCAGAGTTTGCATCTACAACTTTGTTGGCGGCAAGACCCGAACGCAATCCCCGATTCACCCTTTTTCCAGCGCAGGTGTATACACGGGCAACAGGCCAAGATCTCGAATATGCTAACCCTGAACCCAATAACCCTAAAGCCAGAAGTTGAATCTCTCAATCTCTGAACCTTGTTGCTAGGTTGGCTTTCGAGGTATGTGGTTTTTCCTTGGGTTCAGAAGGGACCCTATATATGAATATTTTTTCAAAGGATTTAAAGGCAAACCCGGGCTGAGAGAACCGGACGCCCAAACCCCAAAACCTTTCAATGTTGATTTTCTGAAATCAGCGGTTACAGTGTAAGGTTTCGGGTTTAGTGTTTGTTTTGAGGAAGGGATAGTACTGCATGTACAGGGTGGTGGGAGGCTTGAATGTTGTAGAAGGGCAAGGGGTTGCCGAGATATTTCTCCGATATCCCTAACCCTAA